CCTTAGAGGGTCGTATTTGAGCTTGCCTCTCCCGTTTGGCCCAGTACCTCCGGGTATCTGTGATCAGATGCCTGGAAATTTAAATCCATGCTATGGTAAATGCACACGCTAAGCTCTGTTTACTTTCTGAAACCCACATAGTGGTAAGTGCACACGTTGAACACTTTGCACACTTTCTAAAATCCACAGTAGTGGTAAGTGTGCACGCTGAGCACTTTGCACACTTTCTAAAATCCACATAAGTGGTAAATGTGCATGCTAGACTTTGCACACTTTCTGAAATCCTGTACAGTAAGGGTTACGCGCTATAGCTTAGTTCCCTTTCTCCGAGTTGGTTAGTACCTTGGACTCCACTCAACCAGTGTGTCTCTATTTTTGACACACTTGGAAGTATCGCTCCCCTCACCATTGAGGGTTACTATGAGCATGCTGCTTCCTATCGAGCGCCCGGGGTCGCTCCGTGGGCTGTTCTCGTGGTAATATTAGCAGTGCTCCCGTTTACCAAAGGGTTGCCTATGAGCACGCTATTCTTTCTGAGTTCGGAGTTCTCCTCTCACGTGAGAGTTCTGTTTTCCCAGAGCAGCTGGAACCAGTAGCATCAGGTGAATTAGGCCCTTCCAAATTTTCCTTTCCGAGTTTTTGGCTAGTTTGCAGTACACTTACCTCTGATTCTAACGATCATGCTGATCATGCTCTTGTTGAGAGCTGCGTGTGTTGCTCCCTCAGCTAAGTAAATTATTGCTAGCTGTTCCAGCATTGGAACATGCGGTAGGTCCTCTAGGCTTCCTGCCATGCTTCGAACGCAAGCTTCAGACGAAGAAATGAATGACATGTTCTCCCGGCGCCTATTTATACTATAGTCGCACCGGTAGTGACGTCATGGGCTGTCGCCGGCCAACGTGTTGTTGGTGTTTTTTCAATGTATGCTTCAGACACGGGTCACGACGAGGCGTTCCCCATAGCGACCCCTAGAGGACGCAGTGTCTCGTTCCCTACTCAGGGAACCATGGTTACATAAGTAACCTGAGACGTTTTCACCCACCTTTTTACGTTCACTTCAGCCATAACCGACTGTATTTATGTGAGATACTCTAAACGATTGATATTTTGACAGCTGTGTATTTACCAATTAAGGCGCAGGCAGAACTGATCGCAGAACTGGGATCTTGCGGCCAAGACAGCGTTCTGTGTGTCTGTCATTCTGCGTGATTCCGCCTATCTATCCCGCCTTCACTTACGCCAAGTTAATCGATAACAAATTGTGATTGGATGGTAATTTGGTTCTACGACACGCTTACTTGCCTTTGATTAGGCTGTTTTTGTGTGACAGAACACTTCTACTACTCGCTCTGATCACCTAGTCCTAAAGAAATGTTGAAATACAGGGGAAAAAAAGAGCTGAAATATGGGACTGTCCTAGGAAAAACGGGATGTCTGGTCACCCTACTATTGAACCCAATTCCAGAAATAAGTAGAATAATGTGTTGAATAGCATTTGACAGATTACATTGTCTTTGCATGGTCACGTCCGTAAACAGAAAGAATAAGGCCCGGATACTATGGCATGTGTGGATGCTGAGGATGGTTTGTAGGTTGTTCTTACACAACAGCTGCTTAGAATTTACTTGGGAACCACATTATTCATCAATAAGGATGAAGTGGGATATGTTACTAACATTAAAGTGATAGTTCAATCAAACATGAACATTCTGATATCATTTAACACCCTTATGTTGTTCCAACCTATATGAGATGGGGGCCTGTCCTGCTCTTGCGGGGCCAATGTGCTGCTGAGTTTAGCTCCAACCAGCTCCAACACACTTTCCTGGAAGTTTCTAGTGAGTGTGAAAACCTTGATTAGCTGGTTTGGGCCTGTTTAATTGGAGTTGGAGCTAAACTCCAAGAGTGGCCCTCCAAAAACAGGTTTGAACACCCCTGCTATATGAACTTCTGTCAGGATCCTGCCACAGTTGGTCTTGTTCTAGGTTTGTTGACAGGATCCTGACACTGGTGTGTTGTACTGTCCTGTTTTTGTGGGAGTGTGCAGCTTGCCATCCATTGGCGCTTTTCCACTGCATGGTACGACTCGGCTCGGCTCGGCACAGCTCGGCTCGGTTAGTACCACTTTAGCGTGGGCAGGGTTATACACATTGCCCCATCAAACTCTCGCTGGATCCGATCCTAGGCTATCAACGAGAGGAATGTTTGTACTTCCTCAACAGACCACGAAACAGCCATTTTCTGGTTGTTAAAAAAAGGTGCGCTCAATCCTTCGCTGGCTGTGCTGATTTAAATCTAGTCGGTCTGGTGTCTCGTGTCACAAGTTCAATGACGCAGGTAGTGATCGTGTCACAAGTTTAATGACGCAGATAGTGATGATTCTCTCCGGCTAATCAGTGATCAGCAGGGTTTACACATCACATTTTGGTAACAGTACGGCTCGCTTGGAACCTCAGCTGAGGTGGTACTGAACAAAAATGACCAGGTTCCAGGTACTGTACCCAGTGGAAAATCCCCGAAAAGTGACTCGGACCAAACCGTACCGTACCATAGCATGCAGTGGAAAAGCGCCATATGTGGGGCATGATATCTGGCTCCTGACAATCATGCCGAGTTTGGTTTTGTTTCAGTGTTAGAACCCAGATACTCATGCTCTATAGTATTTCTTGATTATATCACCCTGCAGCCCAAGACTGGTTGCCCACTAAAACTAAGCAGGGTTGAGCCTGGTCAGTACCTGGATGGGAGTCCTCCTGGGAAAACTAGGTTGATGCTGGAAGAGGTGTTCGTCAGGCCAGCAGGGGGTGCTCACAGTCCTAATGCCCCTGTACAGTGATGGGGACACTATATTTTCAAAAAGCACCGTCCTTCGGATGAGACGTTAAAAACTGAGGTCCTACTCTCTGTGGTCATTAACCCTTTCACACTTGAGTTTAAAATATTCTAGCTGAGCCCCCAGCGTGAGTTTTTTTAGGCGACCGTTATATTAGAATGTATCGCCTTATTGTTTCCATGGGGACGCGTTATGCTTGTCATGTCACACACCACAGCCACAATAAAACTGTATGAAACATGTATCGCTTTTATTAAATTTTTACTTTTCTATAAAAAATATTCACACTCCAATTCTCAAATATGTGCAAGTAAATGTATTTGGTAGTTTAAACACTTTTATAACGACCATGCTAGTTGATCTATAGCGGGTGATGGGCACCGCCATGTTAGTTCATGCTGAATCCGAGCTGTGGGATTAACAACACGTAAATTGATCCTCTCCTCCCAAAAGACATTAAAGTAAGTCTCCAGTGAACTGGGAGAAGAATAGAGTTAACTTTATAATTACTTACCCAATCTTTACATGATATCAATAAAACATATCGTCAGATTATATTTGTAAGGATCATTATTGCCACTTCCATAGACATCGGCGTGTATTTTACAAACTATAAATGTAACTATTGTTTTGCTAGTACTTATGTGTATTTAAGTTTCGCTAGTACTTATGTGTATTTAAAATGTATGAAACCTAAAATAAACATTATATGGTTGAAAACACAGAATAGTTGTGATATGACAATGTCAATGTCAATTTATTTCTAGAGCACAATTTAAAACAACTTGAAGTTGACCAAAGTGCTTTACATATAGACACATATAAAACAACATTCAAAACAAAACAGAGCAAAACAGTTTAAAGAGATGAAGTTAATCTCTATAATACATTAAAAGCCAGAGAAAACAGATGAGTTTTTAACTTAGCCTTAAAATATGACAATGTTTTAGCAGTTCTGATATACAGTGGAAGACTATTCCACAATTTAGGGGCAATTACGGAAAAAGCCCTACCCCCTCTCATTTTTAGTCTTGCCCTAGGAACAGTCAACAGCCTCTGATCAGATGGTCGGAGAGATCTTGATGGGTTGTGTAAGAGCAACAGATTTGACAGATACAATAGGGCCTTTCGCACCGCAGGAACCTTTTCATAGTACCAGAACTAACTGTGGAACTACCCACTTTTCGGCGTGTTCGCACCGCCGTAACTGGGAGCGATTTTAGTACCGGACTGCCTTTTTCGAGAACCAAATTAGCAATTTCGAGATTCTTAGTCAATCCGTGTATCATTCGTTCTTTTCATATTCAATTAAGAAGTCAAATTCGGAAAATTGAAAAAGGATTATTATGTCATTATTCATTTACAGATACAATATTAAAAATATAAATAACGACTTGTTTTTCGTATTTTCGATTTCATGCAAAAATTGAAAATGGGAAATCAGAAAAATGCCTGCAGCCCGAATCTGATTTTGATATTTAGTTATCCAGGTTGGCATGACCCGGAAGTTAGTGTTCAGTGGCGGGACTGGTTCCACCATGCCTGTAATTTACATATCTTTGGATTCCACGGCCTCCATAAAATTAGATGACAGGGCGCTTAGTATAATGGGCGCGCTAGAAGAATACATTGATTTCGTTAAAGGCTTATTCGAAAATGGCAAGACTCATGCAGAGATTTCAACAGATTTGCAAAAAATGGGTGTCCAGCGATGCTCTGAAATGAGTGTTAGACGAATATGTTTGAAATACAACCTTCGTCGAAAAAGACATGTATCGGACACAGAATTGGAAGCAGCTTTGATTGGATCCATTTATGAGGTAAATACATTTTTCTTGTTCTTATTATTATTATTATTATTTACATACTGTTATATCAATGTTTTATGGCAGGACAGCGCATTCACAGTCCTCCAAGAAACTGGCAGCTTTGCGTTTGGCACAATTAAATGTATTTTTTTTTAACGTTTAAATTTATTTATTTTTAGCAATTATTTTGTAATAAACACTTAAAGTGAGCTATTGAAATGTGTTACATGTTGAGTTATGTTTTATGTTCAAGTAAGCACAAGTTTTTTGTGTTCATTTGACCCGTCGCTGTACAGGCCCATTTTATTGTACAGGATAGTGTAAACAGCTCACACTTATGGGTTTAATGTATTTCCTGTAACGTTAGGCCTTTCCCTAGCATTACGATTTCAAACTGTAGGCTATTGATAATGTCAAAAATGTGATGTATAGTCAAATGTTCCGTTATGTAAGCTATACTGTTTAAATATCTTGCTTCTCAGTCTTTGGTTGTCATGGATACAAGAATCGTATTGCTCAAACGTTATCTCATGGTTATATGTCTTAATAGACGGGGCCATCGTACGGCCGCAAGTTCATGACTGGCTATCTATCTTCACTGGGAGTGCATGCAGGAGAAAGTCGAGTCGGAAAAATGCTGAGAGAAATTGATCAGCCATACCATGAATTGCGACGACAGGTAAGTTTTGCTCCATCTTTGCTTGTGCTGTGTATTAAAGAATAATAATAACCATGATAAAGTGGCATGACCAATTGCATCGTTAGTCTTTAATATGATTGGTTCTTCCCCCTTCCTCTATTACTTGGCAGAAACAAATCTTGATGTTTTGATTACTTGTTCCACAAATCATGGTCATGATATCCAAATATACAGCCAGTTTTGTTTCCTTTTGTTAAATCCTTCACCATAAAAACAGGCACAAGTGCTTAAACATTTTGTTATCAGCGCCATTTAAAAAGCATTTCAATGTTGTTAACCCTGCAAGAAAAGAATGTTAGTGAAATATGATTACTTAAAATTTCCTTTGCAGTATTTGTGGTGGAACCTAATTAAATATAACCCACTTATATACAAATTCTCTTGTAGCAAAAAACATTCTGTAAATACATGAGCTATGAGACCAAGATGGAAACCTGCAATACTCAAATGCTTTCCCCTTGTCTAGGGTGCTCGTAATCTTAACCCTGTCCCTTATCATGCCGAATATATGGGCCATAAGCTACACCTTGATCAAAACGAGAAGCTTGGGATGTTCGGTGTAACACACGTTTTGGCAGTTGATGGCTATAGCAGCAAAATTGTTGCCAATGCTACAATGCCAGTTTTGAAGAATCAACGTGATTTATGAAGTTTACAGGCGAGTATGTTCAGAGGAAGTAACAAGCATTGAATGATAACACTTCAATATGGGGACCAATTCCCACTTTTAATTAGTTGCTTATTAGTTTGCATATTGGATGTTTATTAGTACTTATAGAGCACATATTAATGCCTTAATCTGCATGACCATATTCTACATCCTTTTATTCTACCACATACCTAAACTTAACTGTTAGAACTAGATCTTACTATTAATAAGCAGTAAATTAGGAGTCGAGGCAAAAGTCATAGTTAATAGTGAATGTGTTGCCCATACTGAAGTGTTAAGTCTATCAAATCAGCCTGGGTATACTATTAACGGATAAAGTGTATGCATTTATTTAGTTGCCACTATGCCCAAATGTCAGTTGAATATACAGACAAGTCTATTTTTGCCAAGAACTCTGTTGTATTTAACATTTCAAGTTCAAACTCTTGAATACAACAACATAAATATTAAACGTTTTGCATCAGTCCTACAGAATCGTTCAACCAAAAATGTTTGTTACCTTTCAAAAAAAATCTAACAAATACACACAAAACAAATGGTTGTGTAAAATTGGTATAAATCCAAGACTGCATATTGGCTTTCTCAGCATTCTACATTGTGTGCAATATAAAATAAATTGAAGGATGCACATGTAATTGTGCCCTAGAACTGCATATTTTGATAAGATTAAGAACAAAACAACAGTAAAACTATGCAATGTTTGATAATACTACTACATAATATACAGTATTATGCCAAGAGTATGTTTCTGAGTGCAGCCAATGCATCAGATAAGCCCATGAGTCTTTGTACGTTGTTACCAGAATCGCCAGCCCGGCATTTAGGGCAGAAGGGAGAATTTATTTGCCATTCCTCAATGCAAATCCTGCAGCCAATAAGGCTTTGGCAGCATGATGAAACCATGGGCTCGTTCATTGGACCTGCAAATTTCGTCTTTATTGAGATGTATATCACTGTTTTGGTTTTCAATGTTACCTTTCTGATGTGATTTGACATTTCGAGCTGTTCATGATGCCAAACGAGCGATCACTGTGATGTGCCGCGATTATATTCATATATGGAGTGATGTTTATCATGTCAGATGATCACTTATGGTTTATAATGTACAATATGATACCTTTTTTCCCTTCTTGGATTGTATATTTCACAAACCCATGTTAATGATGAGGATTTAGTATGCTTTGGCTGTCTTTATTTACCAATGGATGTTATAATTGTATATGTCTGGGCTGCTGTTGAGTTATAAATAACTCAATACCGATCTCCATAGACACAAAAATAAAGCAAACAGGCTTACTTGTAGGTCAATGACTAACACCTCAAAGTAACTTCTGCAGGAAATATCAGAAATAAACCGGAATTAACGTCCATTCAGCGTTCAACAACAGCAGCAGCTCAACTCACGAGACTACTCAGCTGGATTGCGACATACAATATCAGAATAAAAGCTTTCTCTTAAAGGAGCCTTTACAACAGCCGCCCCAAAGATGAGAATCATCTTTGTAATAAGGAAAGGCGACTCTATGCTGGAGGGTTAGAGACTCCAGGATCATCTAAAGGCAAGGTTGGTAGGACAACCAGTCGGGCCACTGGTCGGGTATAGATCTGATCCTTGATCTGCACATCTGCTGATCGGATATGACCATTGGGACTGAGATGGGTCTGAATGACTTTACCTACGGGCCACAAACCTCGGGGTAACTGAGGGTCGACAATCATGACGTAGGTATGCACTTGGAGTTCAGGAGGCGAGGCTTGCCATTTCTGCCTGGTCTGCAGACTGGGAAGGTAATCATGGATGAATCGGGACCAGAATTGATCGGCCAAGATCTGAGAATGTCTCCATCTTTTGCGACTTAACAGCTCGGATTCTGGGTAAATGACTTGAGGTAAAGATCCATCAGGCAGTCCCATGAGGAGTCTACTAGGGGTCACTGGATCAGCATCGGCCACGTCTGAGGACACGTAACCCAAGGGTTTTGAATTAAGGATAGCCTCGACTTCCAACAAAACTGTCATCAGAACCTCTTCAGGGACAGACTGGGAACCCAGAACGGTGTACAAGGCTGACTTGACAGATCTCACTTCCCTCTCCCAAACTCCACCAAAGTGAGGGGCTGATGGCGGATTAAAGCAGAAGTGGATCTTCTGGCTTGCAAGATGACACTGCAGGTCAGGAGCTAAGGCAGCATATGCTTCGCGCAATTCCCGCTCGCCTCCACGAAAATTGGTCCCTCGATCCGACCATAACTGCGCTGGGGTGCCTCTCCTAGCAATGAACCTCCGAAGGGCCATAAGAAAGGAATCCGTACTCAGGCTAGGGAGTAAGTCTAAGTGTACGGCTCTAGTGGTAAGACACTTAAACAAAACACCACAACGCTTCTCTGTACGTCTACCAATCTTCATTAGGAAAGGACCGAAGCAATCCATCCCACATGAATGGAAGGCAGGCTTGTGAAGCTGAAGGCGGGCAGAAGGTAGATCAGACATCTGAGGCACTGAAGGCTGACCTCTCCACCGGCGACATTCCGGACACGTATGCTGAAACCGTCGAACAGCTTCACGGCCTCGTAGGATCCAATAATGTCTGCGTATCTCCGCAAACAATCGCTCTGATCCAGGATGATGCAGCTTGTCGTCATAATGGCGGATGATCAGGCAAGTAACTGGATGTTTGGGGTCTAGGACTACAGGATGGAGAACAGAATCTGCGAGGCCAGTCATTCTCCTCAAACGACCACCCACTCTAATTAAGCCATTAGATGGATCCTTCTCAGGGGCCAAGGCGACTAAACGGCTACTAGGTTTCACTGATTTTCCAGATTCTAACAGGTGGCAATCTTCAGGAAAAGATTCCTGTTGGATGCGTTTAAGGACATGGACTTCAGCACGACAATAATCTGTGGCTTCTGGAACTATGGCAGAATCTGGTTCACCTTGTAAGTGTCTGGCAGTGACATTCCGCAGGTCTATCCAATGGCGCTTTTCCACTGCGTGGTACGACTCGGCTCGGTACGGCTCAGTACGGTACGGCACGGCTCGGTTTGCGTTTCCACTGCAGTTTAGTATCGCTTTAGAAAGGGCGGGATTATTCACGTCGTTATAGTTGTGCCGCCTCTACTACCAC